AATTAAATTAAATTAAATTAAATTAAATTAAATTAAATTAAATTAAATTAAATGTGACATAATATATGTGAGACTGACCCGAGATTGTGTTTTTGATTCTCACAAAGATCGTCTCAAAGTCAGCAAAGTCACTCCAGGAAGACTGGAACATGTGCATGAACTGGTTCACAAACAGGTTCTCTATTCTGGAAATTCATGGTTATCATCATTATCGTCATCAACATCATCATCATCATCATCATATTCCACACCATATTCACATCAGAAAAGAAAAGAAAGAACATGATTGTTCAGCCAGTGTCAGACATATACTGTTTAAATTGTTATTTCAGGAAAAAGTTACACAGCTTTTTTACTGATGTTTCATCTGTTTGTAATCTATGTAAGTCTATGATCAGTAATTTGACACATTCTCTCTGTTCATGCAGTAAACTTTACACAAACTGGAAAAGCATCTTTCACTGTTTCTCAGAGGCTTTTGGGACCTACATCCTCTCATAACCATCCTTGGAGCATCAAGCTCCTTATCTTTTGCCAATAAGTATAAAAAATGGCTGTTTTATTTGAAATTGTCATTTTGAAAAACAAAAAAAAAAAGTTAGAGTTAATTTTGCAAGTGTGGAAAGTGGACTTTGTATGATTTCTGGTTGAGTGAAATGGCAAACACGTTACATCTTTGTAATGAAGATAGAGGAGGTGTGTTTGATGTCTGAGACACTGCACTAATTTTTTTGTCAGGGTAAGAACTAAGGTGTTGTGTCAAATCTCATTCGAATCTCATTCAGGACGCCCTATTTAAACTGCTCTGGCCTGCCTACTGTTGCTGCTTCCTCTGCCAGCTGCTTTGCAACCCGCCTCCACTCCGGCTCCTCCTTTTCATGCTGTGTCTGACTTATCAATGTCATTTCTGTTTGTCACTGATGCTGCTCTGCTCTGTTCCTGGGAAGTCTTTACTGCTGCTCTCCCTGCCTTAGGCTTTCTGTGTAGGCGCATGGAAGGGCAGGGAGGTTTGCTCTCTCTCTTTCCTCATTTGCACGTGAAAGGGCAGAGAGGTGTAAAGAAATGTGTTTTTCATACTGAACATGTATTTATGATGATTTTGCAGCCAGAAGTGGCCCTAATGCAAATTTCACTGCAGCATTTCTGTCAACACCTTTGTAGCTCACTATGCCACATTATGGGACGTGTTTCCATCTCGCATACATTTCCACCTCACAAATCATTAACATGTTTAAAGGTTTTGCCATTTCTAGCTGTGTCAGAGCTACATGATGCAAACAGCTGTGTTTGGGATCTGTGTTGTGTTATTGTGTCTATCTCTCTTGCCTGCATCAAAGTGCAATGCAAATGTCCCTGGTGATAAATACACAATGACGCCTCTGTCTTTCCAGGAAATCTGAGCACAGAAAATAGAAGCATGTTATCAGGCTGGAGCTCAGCATCTCATTGTGGCATCGTGAAGGTTTTGCACTGAAAAACACCTCTGAGGTTAAAGCTCCACTGACCCACTGTGTTCTGTACTGAGGGGCGTCAGCTGTCCGTGCAACTTCTGCAAACCTGTAAAAGCTTTATTACAGCAGGCTGTTAGAGGGAGCACGTACGCCTTACTGTAGTTCAGCACAAAGTCCACTCCCTTCTCACTGTCAAACTGGATGTCCCGCGGCAAGTCCTTGTGTCTGTTGGCATCTATGCTCATAGGAAAGCCTGGCTGCCACTCCTTCCACCTATAAAGGACAGCAGAGATGTTAGTGAGCAGTCTCCTGTAACACACAACCACAAACTGATGTGTAGAGTGAACTCACTTGTAGGTTTTTCTCCTCATGTCCAGCTCTTTTTGCCTGTGCTGTTTGACCAGGCTGGTCTTGTCATCCTGAGGCAGATGTGCTACAACAGACAAAGTGACAGATGGAGCAGAGCTTGTGCTGCAGACTGGCTGATGAGAAAGAGGAGGCAGTCAGTCTGTGAAACAAACAAACAAAAAAATATGACCTGCTGTACCTCTTCCATCCCGCAGCACCACTTCCTTGTCATCCACCAGCCAGCGGAAGCAGGGGAACTCCACGTAGTCTCCATCTGGGGTCTTGACTGAGATGTACTTGCAGTACCAGTCGTCATGCACCCAGTACTTCTTCTTCTCGATCTTCACCAACACAATCTCTCCCAGGTTCTCCCCGACCCTCACATCATAGGAATCCACCTGAAATTGAGTCAGTGGCTAAATAAATCATGTGCTGGAGAAATAGCAATGTGTGAAATACATTTGTGTATATGTAAACAAGTGTTATGTAAAGAACATGAATGACACATGATACAGGCACATGGGGTGCACACTGTCATAGTTCCATACATGACCTACTATATGAAGGTTTGGGGAAATATATACAAAACCATCACCAATTTAATTTTACGCTACAGAAGAGAGCGATAAGACTTGTAAACAGAGCTGATTATCATGAACGACCCAACAATTTATTTATGAACTTGCATGTTCTAAAATTGAGAGATTTAGTGAACTTTAAAACTGCACAGTTAATGTATAAAGTACAAAATAAGATGCTTCCAGAATTACAGTGAGTCAGTATGAAGTAAGAGGAACTTGCATGTTTACAAAAACAAGGATTATCACAAAATGCAAAAAAAAAAGAAAAAAAAGATGTGAAACAGTCAAAGGAGTTTATTTGTGGAAGTTTTGAAAATGACTTGAAAATGCAGAATACACTTAAAAGATTTAAAATAAAAATAAAAAGATTAACAAATACAAAACTGAGGGGCACCCAGTGGCTTAGTGGGAAGAGCAGGCATCGCATATGCAAAAGGCAATGTCCATGCTGCAGTGGCCATGGGTTGGATTCCAGCCAACAGCCCTTTGTTGCACGTCATCCCCTCCCCCCTCTCTGTCCCTCAGTCACGCTCAAACTATCCTACCTAATATAGGACAAAAAAAAATCTGTTTGGGTCTTTTTGGTTATGTATAATCACATATATTTTGTTTTGTTTCTTTCATTTTTAGTGTATAAATACAGGAACTGTGCAAAATAATGAATGTAAAAAGGGTCAGTGTAAAAAGCTACAATTCAGTCAGCTTCAAAATTATTACTTACTGTTTATTTATTCATTAATCTTTAGTTGTTTTAGTTGAAAAGGATTTAAATAAACTTAAGATGTGGACTTTCATTGGTTGAGGGGCTTGCAGAACTAGTTTGACAACAGAAAGCTATAGGTAGCTAACATGTATGTGACTAACATTTTATATTATCTTGTAATAAAAACAGATTATTTAGCTCAAGAAATGTCTGTATCCAACTAAAATTTCAGGACAACAGTAACAAGTAGGATCTTAATCTTAATGGAAAAATAGGATTTAATATAAAGCTGTGTAAAGAATATTAAATGGAAACTAAATTGTATATTGATACTTTACCCAACTTTAAAAGGCAGGTCAATGGATTGCCTAAAGCAATATCAGCACTAACCAATGTTGGATGTATAAAGAATTTTACCCCCTCCGATATAGATGCAGGATTTAGAAAACGGGTAGAACATGGACTCGTGAATCTACACCAACTCTGTGATCACAGCAGCCTGTAAGTCATTTGAGCAGTTAAGAGAGGAACACATGCTTCCTAAAACAGACTTCTTCAGATATTTACAATTAAGGAGTTTTCTAACAAAACATAAGGAGTGCAATAAAGTTTTGGAGCCTACCCCAATTGAGGAGTTCTTGATAAAAATACAAACAGGAAATTGGGGCAAGAAAGTTGTAGGTTATTTTTATCTGATATTTTCAAGCATGACTCATGACAACACACTACAGATAAAAAAGGAGATGGGAAACTGAAAAGGGCACACACATACCACAGGACAAAAGGGAGGAAGTATGCACTGATGCACACCTGGTAACCAACTCAAATATGTGGAGGGAGTTCAGTTGGAAGGTGGTAATGAGATGTTTTCAGACACCAGAAATAGTGGCAAAAATGGGCTCAACATACTCGAATAAATGCTGGAGAAACTGTGGTACACAGATTGGCAACCATACCCACTTATTTTGGACATGCACTAAGTTAAGTACATTTTGGGGAGTGATTTTTGAAGCGCTTAAGAGAATTTTTTTACCAAAACCTCATTAAAGATTCAAGGATAGCAATACTGGGTTTAACACCAGAGGGTATGAATGGGAGAGCAAAAGAATGCATCACAATTAATTGGTTAAAACCTGATTTAATCTCTACTTTGTAGGCTTGTTAGTTTTTTATTGTCTCGATTTTATATCTTTTGTCTTTGTCGTGAAACTCTATGTGAAGTCAGGTCTATTAATAAATTTCCTTTTGTCTCATTATCTTTAAGCTCTATTTGTAATTTGAAACAAAAGGTGTGTTTCTGTCACTGCACTCTCTGGGGAAAAAAAGTCTAATTAGTCAAAAATAAACCTTAGTGGTATTGCAGAAGGACTGCCACAAATTTCTGAGCAGAGTAAATTACATTATAAAAGATAACAAATCCATAATAAAAAAGTCTGCTTCATGTTCACAGCAGCAAATATTTTTATAGTCCCATTGTCCTTCATCCAAAATGAAATTATTTTTTATCTAACATAATTAACCTCAAGTTCTTCTTCCTGTTTTATATTCAAATGCAAACACTCCATCTCAGTGTTTGTGTGCAGTCATTTTGAGCTCACAGTTCATCACAACATAAAAATGGATGTATTTGTCACACAGTCGTCCTCACAGCTCTACAGCAGTGTAACATCACTTACCGCCCCCCTCTCAAAGTCGTTGTAAAGAGGTTTGTCCAGCAGCGTTCTCTCACTGCACCGCTCTGTGCCCACCAGTGTGATGTAGATATAATCATCCGTCCCCGCAAACCACTGGCTCCCTGTGGACACAGTCACTGTGTAAGTGGGCATAGTGGTCACACAGGTCCAAAGGCCCTCTGAAGATGAAGAAACCTGTGGGAAAACCAAAACTACCACATAAAGTTCGCCTCAAGATTTTAGCAAAGACAAGTTCCCCCTTCTTGTGCAAAACTGTGTTTCTCTCACTGATGCTCACTTCTCCACATTTCTTCTTGCACAAACAAGACAAGGTGAAATGAGGCAGCAGAGGGAGGTGCTGGACACAACTCTCCACCCTCACACTGTGAATGAGGTCAGAATATAATACAACTGTCCTTCCTTGATGTATTAGCATGTCTAGGATGGACACAATGAAAGGCGTTGTATGCCAGGAGCTGATATCAAATTCATTGTCTTTGTATGCGAACAACAGCAAGGCGTTTAATTATAAAAGCATAATAGATGAATTCCTGCATCACAGACAAAAACACTGAATATCAGGGCTTTACATTTAGGCAGCGTCACACAGATGATGTGGGAATGACGGGAACATGAACATACATATCTTTTACACATCACATTTACAAGTCAAATCAGTATACGACACTGGACAACAACAGGTAGTGTATTCCAGTTTCAGTGAAATAAATGCAAATGTATTATTGACTCCCGGGGGCTGTGTGTGTGTGTGTGTGTGTGTGTGTGAAACTCAAGCTTATTTTTCCTTCACAAGTCTGACTCCAAAACTTTTCCTCTCTTTCTCTAAAAGGATAAAAACACACCTGAATCAGCTTCTGCCGCTGTCTGACAGTACGTACGTGACAAGATCATTCACAAGGTCACACTCACAGACAAAATAAAGACACAAGCGTTGGTGCTGTTTTAAGAAGGTGACATGTAATGTGGTTCAGCAAGGCAGGCAAAACTGAACATGTACAAACAGAAAAAAAAACGTCAGACAATTTAAGAAAAAGGCAATTTTCATTGTTCAGTCATTCTGAAAACTACTACATCTTTCAGTCACATCTAACAGTTTCATTAAGTAGCACAGTGTACTATTACGTACATTTACATATTTAAATACCGTCCTTTGTTACATCTGTTGCAGTGAGCAGCAGGAACAGAGCTGATCTGTCCTCAGAGATTGACAGGAGCAGTGAAAGATCATGTGTTCCAAATCAAAAGAGCAGAAAATGAAAGCGCTGTAGATGAATGAGTGGCACTATGAATAAGCGGAAATGTTGCTGAATATTATATTTTGTTTTCAAAATGGTAGCTGCCACTTAGAACCAGCGAGAGTGTGTGATTATGCTCTTAAGCCCAGGCAGGTGGGCGCAGCGGGATGCTAGAGCTCATTTGTTGTTACATACACTCAGCAAATGAGAGTTACATAGAAGTCGCTTCTTTACTCGCACTTCTCAAGGTGATCTGGGAGAATTTTACGCTTTGAGATTTTGCTCATTTCCAACAAGTTGAACAGGCACACTAAAATGAACATTTTGGTTTCAGTGTTGTGTGAATTATCTCGGTAGCAATTTCAATCATGCAAGCAGCATAAAAAAATTTACAAATCTTCATCCAATGTTTCTTTGTGCTGTGTTTAATTGAGGAGCTGCAACGAGGTGACTGAAGCCTTTTTGCCACCTTACTTCCTCTAACAGTGACTGACTTTCAAAGTGTTCAGTAGTCTGTGTCATTATAGTTCCCAACCTCAGGGCCTGGACCCCTCCAGTGGGTCACATGATGAATCTGAGTGGTCACAATATGATCAAAAAGCAATTTAAAGGAATATTTTGTCTGTATGTTTTATTTGTGTATCACTTACTTACTGTGTGTTACCTTGACTTTGTAAAGACAGCTTTGTTTTTCTCCCATGCCTCCATGGCGAACAGAAAATCCAAAAAGGACGAACATAATTCATTAATTATTCTGTAATGTTTTAGTGAAAATACATGTTTGTTAAGTTCAGAGCATACGACTGGATGAATGAGACTTAGATTATAGTGCACGATTTGTGTGAGTTTGTAAATGTATGTTTTCATATAATTTTCCTGTCAATTCATGAACAATGTTCGCCTTTTTTGGAGTCTCCGTTCACCATGGAGGCTTGTGAGGAAAACAAAGTTTTCATTACAAATTACAGGTAACACATGGTATGTAACTGATATACAAATGGCCATTTTGTGGGGGAAGTTGTCCTTCAACACCCCATTTTAGCTTGAACATGCTTCTCTTCTCAAATTCAAAAAGTGCATTTGAATCCTGACCCATACCATCACCCCTGCCTCTGCAGCACCCTACAACCACTGACACACCACCCCACAGCTCTGAAAGATCACCTCTCCAGTGTCCCTCTCTCCTTAAGTCCAAACTGGCCTGTTTCAGATGTTTTAATGTTTAGATATTAGTATTCACAGGACCATAGCTACATATACAACTCCTGTTTTAACTCCAGACTGTCCACACTGCTGACAGCTGGCTGCTGGATCTAAACGGTACATCTGAGGATGGAGTGAAGGTGGCGTTGTCTCCTAATCTAGGGCAGGGTGTTCCAAGAAATTGCAGATTTGGGTGGGGCAAGTAGACAGAATTATTGAATCGTCTTTAAATGAATTTGTGTTTGTGTGTTTGGGCTTTTCTCTGATTTTTGCTCTTTCGATAAATATTGGGTAACCTTATCTTTTCAGGCCTTCAGCAATTTTTAATGAGACAATCTGAGAAGTTAAAAGGGAAAAGAATCACTGGTTGGTGGATATATAAAAGCTGTGATGAGTGGCCGTGCGTGAACTTTGCTTCATTTTTAGGGGTCACAAGCCAATAAGGTTGGAAACCATCTGCTCTTCACCAGTCTCCCCTCCCCCCAATTCATAAGCAGTGTTTCAGAGGCTGAAGCATCAACTGAAAGCATGTGACGACACTTCAATAAAACACATTAATCTCTCTGGTGAAGTAAGAAATTGAATAAAGAAAGGCAAGAGGATGAAAAAAGGAGAACGCTTGTAAAACAAACTGATGAGACTTGTGTAAACATTAAGATCAAACGTGATTAAATGACACTCATTCAGTCATTAAAGTGGAAATAGACACACTTTTTGCTTTAGCTTATCATTTTGAAGTAAGTGATTGCACAATGTAATGGCTTTAGAATAATGGCACCATCAGCGTTTAGATTCGTTCCCTATGAGCCAACCAGGTATGATCTCCTGGAAAACAAAGGCTATATGGAAAGAGAATACTGCTTATGGTTTCCTTGGTAGCTATGGTTTAGTTACCAAAGTATAACTGTGAGTTTGTGGGTCTTTGCAGTCACTATCCCCAGCTGTGGAAATGCCGGACTGTGCAACAACCAAGGTAACTGTGGGAACTGTGGTAGTTGCTCGTCTCTGAGGAAAACAAATAGCAATCTGGTTGTCTTTGCAAAGTGGCGGCAACAATAGCAACACCTGCAAACACTAGGGGAAGAAAAAAGTTGTCTGTTTCCACTTTAATGTTCAGCCTAAATGCACACACCCATTCAGTAGCTCAAGTTAATAGTCGAAAATTTAAGTTAAAAACACTGCATATATATTATATCACTATCTGACAATTTGTTCAGCTAAACAGAAAATTATCTCCTCTGACTTGTGCGGATGTTTGAAATGTGTATGAATATTTGTGTCCAGCTCTGATGGTAAACAATACAATTGATATTCAATGCTGCCACCCAGTGGCAACAAGTCGCTAAATCAATAAATAAAAGAAGAAAAAGCTATAGTGATGAAGTGCAAGTTTCTCCTGAGTCCCCTCATGTCCTGCAAGACATGTCAGATCTACATCCATATTATGTAAAAAAAAAAAAAGAAAAAGAAAAAAAAAGAAAAGCTGACATCTTAAACTCAAAACATCTCTCTGATCACAGCTGAGAAAAGATGTACAATATTCAATATCATCAAAGCTACAGACTAAAAAATAAGAGTGCACGTTAACCAACGTAAAAAACAAAGCAATTTAAATCACATAACAGTAACTGCTCTGTTTCAAGCTTTGGCAATAACATTTTCTTAAACTGAAATCATGTGCCACCTCCGTCACTGCATCTTTCTAAAAATAAAAAAAAAAAAACCTGCCGGTTAATTGTGATACATTAATAATAGATTTGTGAAGAGGACAAAGGCAAAAACGCACAAACAGCAACTTCTCCTCGAGTTACTGCATCCCAAATCGGCACTGTAAATTTAAAGACAAACTGAATAAACAAAACATTGAAAATCATCACATTATTTAAAAACTCCAGCCACATTTCAACAATAACTTTTGATCACCTTGGTGGTAAAAAGAACATATGATAGACGATTTTTAGAAATATGTAGCTGAAGAATTTAGTGATACTCTATTCAAATTAATGCATCTCGCTGAGTTCCCTTCCTGATTAGAAAAAAGCTGCTAATTTGATCTTTTTAAGTTGATATACATCTTAAAATCCCAACAGATCATAAGACAGACAGAAAAAGCCAAGTGAGAGAACATCTGTGCGAACAAAGGGGCCTCTACACAATCAGGGCGATATGTTAAAGAGCATATCGTCGCCCTGAGCCATCCAACCATCCAATCGCTGACCTGCTGTATCCACATTGATGAGGGAGTTGCTCAAATTCAAGCCACATGTTGTGTTTGAGTAAGACTTCTCTTAAGAGGTGGCGACTCACAAAAGCAGGAAGTAAGGAGGAATGAAATAGGACAGACTTGGAGTGTCTTACTCTCTGATATCCTGTTTCCTTTCTCGTCTAATGACTTCCCTGGTGCCTTCAGTGAACTCGACAGAAGGGTGATTCCCATATTGAAGAGTTTAAGACGTACCAAATGACATCACTCTACAATGGAAGCATCGAGGTTGATCTGCGACTTGGAGCACAAAGGGCCCTGGCGAGACTCGGGATGTATAAAAACAGCGACTAGTTCAGGTGGAGCATCTGCTTCATGAACTCATAGGTGGTAAAGGCCACAGCCTGGGAGGGGACGCAGCGGATGTAGTTGAGAGAAAGCCCTCGGTACAATCCCTTCTTGATCCCATACTCCGTATACACATACATCAGGGTCTTCCTCAAGGATCTGTTTGGGTGCAAGACAGGAAGTCAAACACTTTTTAGACTGACAAAAAAACAGACAGAGAAATCTACAGTTTTAAGGGCTTTTTTGTCCTAAGTGTGGTCATGTTATGTCCTGAAGCTTTTATTTTCTTTAAGCCCACCAAGCAAATTTATAACTATGTTGAGCTGACAATTAAGTATTGAATCTTGGATATTTTTACACAACAACTTACAGTTTTTATTATTGACATTACAGGCGTGATTAATCAATTCATTATATCTTATTATGTTAGTTTTTTAAGTTTTAATTATTGGTTTTGACATTGTTTTATCCCTGGTGTTAATTTTTTTATCCTATTGATTCCAGGTTTTTGATTTTTAACATTTTAATGATCTTTATCTGAAATCTTTATTTATTATTGTTAATTTATTTTCATTTTTTATTTTATGTATTTTATTATTGTATGCTTCAATTTTGCTGTGTAGAGTATTTTGAGCTACATGATTGTATAAAGGTATAAATAAAATAACAAAAAAAAAAGTTTGTTTTTGAGATATGCCTAAAAACTTGTGCATGAGACAAATGACCTTCTACTGATGTACTGCCTGGATCTTTTTAAAGCATTCTTCTAAAATCAAGGAAAAGCACATAATGCAAAAACAATAAGCAGTGTTTGCACTGGCATAGTGTGATCTTGTAAAGGTATGAACGGTATGTTCCCGTAGTTTTGCAGCTTAGTTGCGATTATACTCCTTGAAGTTTAGGACTTTAACATTATATCAAATGTAAACAGCCCACCAGTATTAAGCACACACTTCATCATCAGACTCTCCTTATTAAACCAAACATGGAAATATTTTAAGAGAGAACTCCTCCATTAATTTTCAAAACATGGACCCCTCAACACAGAGGGAAACAGGGACCAAACATTATTTATTAAGGACCCTGTATTAAAGAGATTACAGGACAAAGTCCCCTTCAGTACTAATTAATCCTGTAGCCAGATGATCACTTAACCTTATACTTGTGAAAAGATGAAGTTCATCAGCGCTGTGTTGTGTGTCATTTCTCATTTTAAAGGGTCACCCAATAGATTACAGTTTCACTACAAAACACCTAAATCTACAGAACCCCTCTGGGGTCACATGGTAGGAAAGAAAAAACCTGATGTGTAACATAACCGTACACATGATTTTGAAGATTCAAAACGCTAATGTAGCTTCCCAGGGATTTAAGCATTTATTTTTCTAATTCTATTTAACTTGTAACGACACATTCACTGAAGTCCTAATAGGTATGACTGTTGGTAGTTATAACTGGCTCTCATTAAGTATGCCGAATTGTAATTTTATAGCCTAATATTTTTCGGACGATTAAGCTGAACTGATATGGGCTAACCTCAGCTGGCACTTGTTGCCATAGAAGCAATAAACATTCAGGTAGTGGGCTGAAGGAATGTAAGCAGGTAGTGTGATCAAGCTACACTGTAAATGGATTCGATTGTGAATCAGAGAGCACAGATTACACAGTGGTTAGCAAGGATTTACATACTTAGTTTGTTTCCTACCATGTGACCCCGTACAATTAAAACCAGATGACGTGAGAACACTATACTGGAGAAGCTATTTGTTTCTTTGTTTGTTTTCAAAACAACATTCTTCAGAGACACCAGGAAAATCCAAAAGCAAAAGATGTGTCTCACCATTATTTTCTTGAGTACACTGCACACACTGGCAGATGTAAGGCAGAGCAGTACATCAAAGTATCACAGAATATGGAGAGGATACTTACACGCATTTCTCAGAGTCAGGAAGAATGGCTCCTAACTGCATTCTTCTCCTTGCCACATCCAAAGGGTACCTAGTGAGAAGAAACACAATGTGACACATCAACCATCAATAAATCTTTGTAATCAATAAAAAACTCCAGCCACGCTCTGAGCTTGAGGCTTACTGGCTGCCTGCCGACGGAACTTACGATATTGTCTGAGCGATGGCACCGGCAACCCCCCCGCAGAGCAGGTTAACGTGAGTTTTCAGAATGAGGACATCGGGGTTGTCTGAGGAGGGGCGTCCCAGCAGCTCGGGGAAATGTTTCAAGCCGAGGCTCTTCAGGGTGCCAAAAGTGAAGAATGAGAAACCTGGAGGACAGAAGCAGGTGAGAGACAAAGAGTCAAGCTAATGCAACACAAAGAACGCTGGTGAATTATGTGAAGGAGGACATCTTATGTTGTTCTGCATGTTGATTTCTTGAATCATGATCAAAGAATGGTGTCAAGATATGCAAAATAAACACCTGCATACGGAGCCATTCCAATAAGTGTTGGAGTAAGTCCCCTATAGAAGCCCATGACACCCCCCTCCTGCACACAAAGAAAAGAGGTCTGACTGTCAGAGGTAGATACAGTACACATTATTGACTAAATCAACAAAATAAGCTTGCATTGACAGTCATACTGAGTCTTTTAATGCATTTTTAATGAAGGTTTGTGAAGACTGTGTTGTTTGTTTGAGACCTTAAGGTAGATGGTGTGGAAGGCATTGGCAATTCCAGTGTAGCGATGCTCTCCTGTCACCTGGAAGGCCAGTCGGGCTCGGATCACATCCAGAGGGTAGGTGCATATCACCGCAGTCATCCCTGAAAACACACACCGTGAGAACAAACATTTGTGTAAAAACACAAAGTTTATGATTATGATCTACTGAGATTAAACAGGCATAGTAGCTGTATTTAATTTTATGTGACTGACCTTCCAGTTTGTCTCTTAGGGCCCTATTGAAACAATCTATAGAGCATGGTCCAAAGTGCATGGCGCAAGTGTATTTAGGGTGTGTCCAACTCCACTTTTGCTGGTTAAACGGTGCATAATCTGGGCATACAGCAACGTGCAAGGGGCAAAGAGGGCTGTATTTAGTCCCTTGATTAATTATGGGTGTGTTTTAGGCGTAACATTAATTCAACAAATCAGAGTGTTCCCTATAGAAGCCAGGTGTGCCTGCACCTGGCCGCTGCTATTTACATTGCAGATTCTGCGAGTTTTCTGCTGAGAGTAATGCAGTAAGAGCAGTGATGTCCCTTATGCAAATATTGTGGGACATTTAAGCAAAAACTAAAAACTGTAAGTATAAACGTGACAGAGGAAACAGAACTGAACTTATAGCTTCTGATCAAAACAATGAAGTTAAGTTGCTCCTCCTGCATAAATGCGCGCAGCATCTCTTTTAATGCGTGTGTACAGAGGGGAGTAAGTGCATTTGCTGCTTACACAACATGGACGCTAGCCATGAAAATGACAACTGCGTCGGTCTTAAAGAAGATATTCTTTAGGACAATACACACACATGTGCAAACAGGAGCTACATGCATTAAATGGAGAGATGTCAGAGTGAGGGGGCTGCCTTGGACTGGCACCCCGAGCAGTTGGGGTTTGGTGCCTTGGCACTGCCCAGAAGGCGAACTGGCACCTCTCCAGCTACCAGTACACTCTACATAGTTGGTTTGTAGGGGGACTTAAACCAGCAACCTATCAGTTCCCAAGCCACGCCCCTATGCCATAACTAAGCATGACAGTTGTGCTGTGTGTCACTTTGCGCTGTCGAAGATATGACCGTCAATCTCTTTATACTGATGCAAGCAGACTGGGAGCCTGACTACTTCAGTATCTTTTATTTTAAAATTTAACAACACACAATAACAAGGTGTGACGCTTGCATCCTAGTGACGCAGTATACAAGAAAGTTTGTACAGAGGTGACAAATGTGAATATAGTCTTCTATTCAAGGGGAACAAATAACAATGCCTATAATCGATAAATTTACGAGAGAAGAAACAGTAAGTGGCACAATGTCTATGTCAGTACAGCACATGATGTCCACCTGGCAAAGACTGAAAAGGCAGCTCTTATCAGTGAGGAAGATAAATTACCTGCCATAGACCCTGCCATGAGGCGGTGGATGTGTCCGGAGATTCCAATCTTTTTACTAAGCAGCTATAAAGGAAGGAAACGAAGGTCAACAGGTTCACTAATGAAATAAAAATGCACAGACATTTCACTTCAACTGCAGCAAAATGTCATTATAGTGAACAACATATACAGTAACAACAAAAACACATTGCGTTTCTCTGGACAACTGCTATCCTCGGTTTTACTACCACCCAGTTTTTATAACATTGCCCTTTGAATGTGTTATTCCACCGTAAAACATGCACTGTACCTTTTTATATTTGTCGAAGGCCATGAACTGGATGGCTCCATAAGGAAAAATCCTGACCATCATTGCCCCGTTACCCTTGTACAGGCCGCGGTAGCCTTCTTTCTGTGGCACAGCTCTGAGAGTGGAAAACACTCCTGCAAAGGAAGATCACAAGTTTCACTCATGAGGCACAGAAGTGTGAAAACAAACACTTACTGGCCTTTCCGCTGATATCTTTACCTAGATGTTTGTAATGAGCATTCTGGGCTTGAAGGAGAATTTTGACTCTGTCCAGAGGAGCGATGGTTGTCTTGGCACAGCATCCTGCAACACCTAAACAAAAACAGAGAAAGACAGCATCAACACATTTGTTATCGAGTATTCAACTTCTGCTGTTACTATAGTAGAATAGTTTTTAAATGTTTTTAAATAATGAATCCGGTGATGAAACAAGCCTATCATTTACTGATAGCTGAATAGTTCAACATTGAATTATAAGAGAAGCATTGGTCTTACAAGTGTTTAAAGAAGCCAACAGTCAGCGGACAAGGGAACAAAGCAGTCAACCCCTCAGATTTTCCAAGTGCAAAATTTGTTTCAAAATACAGTGGATGAGAAACCACAAATGACGACACAGAAACCCTCTCAACTGTCTTTCCTGTAATACAAGCGTGACGAAAGAAACCAAATACTTACAGACTAAAAATATGTTTAAACCCAGCTTGATTGATCTGATTGCAAAAACTGTCGATTTCAACATTAGTTTCAGACATCACATGCAGGCTGTGCTATTGTGCTAAAGGTAACACAGCATGCTTTAAGGGTATGGTAAAGGGATAAAGTACATGAATAACAATTTAGTAACAAAGTGCACATAATCTCCAATCAAACAGCGGTGGATTACACTTTTATTGGTATGTTTAAAATGATGTTGAGTGTGTGAAGTCATGATCGATTGGGTCATATTTTCTTTTTTTTTTTCATTGCTCTTTTATTTTTGCTTGCTAGGCTCCACAGCAAGGTCAGAGATAGGTGGCAGAGGAGGAATGGTGTTTCCAGAGCCGCTATGAAGTCATTTTTAAGATTATTTATGGGGCTATTTTTTTGCCTTTAACGACAGGACAGTCTGAAGCATGGAGGGGGGACAGCATGCAGCAAGGGGCCACGGGCTGGATTTGAGCCTGTGGCCCCTGCAGCAAGGTCACTGCCTTTGCACATGGGTTGCCTGTTCTACCCACTGAGCTACGGGGTGCCCCTGCTATAAAGGTTTTGATGACTATGTGCAGTGTGGGTAAAGTCAGGGTGGTTGTGCAACACCTGTTTCTGGGTCACAAACCAAAGCAAGGGACGATCAAAGCAAAGGACATGGTGTTTGTATGGTAAAGGAATGCAGTCTTGCAGATACAGCAAGGCTTGAAACTATGTCCTTGTGTCAAAGTGTTCTGCCTTATGTAAATAACCACAGACTTGAATGTGATAGTACAAACAGATCCTACCTCCAGCTACAAAGGAGCGAAGAAAGTGGTAGTCCCTCTTGGCAGGGGTGCTGCTGATGGCAGATGTGGAGACAGCAGCCTCCGATGTCATCCTTCCTGCTTAGGTGTCTGCCACATCCATAGCTGTGCAATTCAGGAACAAAAGCTGTAAATGGACATGTGACTGTGAGCATGTCGCATAGTCCACACAAACATTTGAATTTAATCAGACGATGCGGTTTTGTAATTAGGCCGGTGTAATGTTGTTACGTCATGGCATTTCAATGGGACATAAGTTAACGGTTAGGGTGCAACCAGTGGGAAGATTTAGCTAACAGGCAAGATAATACTCACACGATAATTAAAAACTATTAGAGGCACAAAAACAGCCAAAGGGAAGGTCGGTGCGAAGATATGTCTTCAACAAATCTGTTTCTCCTTCGCTGAGTTTTCAGCTTGTCTCGTTTCCCCACTTCCTCGGGATGATCCTGGCTGTTAAACTGTGACGTTACCATGGACACTGGCTGTCACCGCACCGAGAAGCTCGTCCTTTTCTATTTCAGGTCAAACACGGACTAAATATTGTGGTAATAAATGAAACTGAGGCACTTTTCGAGATACTGGCGATTGCATTTGTGCCCTTCGGTCCTTTCCGACTGACTGGACCTGACCGACAACAGTCGCACGTTAATGACGTATGTGACGTTTCAGAGGGGTGACGGGGGCGATTTTTTTTTCTTCTTTTTTCTTTTAAGGATGATATCACTGGGAAGAAGCGGAGAAACAACGTAAAACAGAAAAAAAATGTACGTTACAAAATATAATATAATAGTCCTAGGCTATATAATACTGTTTTTCTTATTTGCTTGAACAAATTTGTCCATTCAGAAGTTACATTTTCAAAACAGTTCGCACACAGGCCTAAACTGAAAGTCAGTTTGTTTGCAAAAAGTTTTTTTTTTTTTTTTTACTTACAAAACATTAAACACATGCAACAAAGGCAACTATCTCCATCAAACAACATGAATATATTCTTTAGTCAAGTTCTTCTTTAGTTCTTTTGTGCTATATGCTTTATCCATTTGTTGCTACTTTACATAGTTACAGTATGTGCCAAAAATAGACAAGCAAGCACATCACAGAATGAGATGTATTCTTTTCTCTAAATATAATTTTTCCAGAGATAACAAACCCTGCTACACTCTGCACCTGCACTTTTCACACTTTTTTTTTTAACTAAAGATGCCCTGTTGAAATACTGTTAAAAACAGACATCTTATTACATATATTTTATTACAACACATGCAACACAGAGGTAAAATCTTTTATAGATGGATAAGGACTGATTGATGATTGTAGAGTTGTGCAAAGGAGTTTCACATGGGTGCATTAGACATACATAATTGTGCAAATAATTTCTATCAGCTGTAAATTCATGATTTCCTTTTGCTAAACATGGTTAATCCAATAGAGTTTTGGGTCTTGCTATAAGATATGTGTTTACTGTTTTGAAAAAGGGAAAAATGTGTGAAACAAATTAAAAGTGTGAACGCATCTGCAAGAGAAGACTCCTGCTGTGCTCAGAAGGTGATGATGAAGATCAAGTGGAAAATCTATAAAGCCCATCATGAAATGTAAATAGTGTGGTTACAGATAAGTTATTATGCATATTACAAACATGTGTACTAGGTTGGGGATGGGGGGTGCATGGGCTACGGTGCTGGTCCAGCCTATTAGCTATATAGTCAATGAATCAACACAGTATTTATTTAATTTGAAATAAGAAAACATTACATAAAAAAACAATTTTGGTTTGGAGCTATAAAGTGCTTAAAAGCCATTTATTATGAATGTATGAATAGAACAATAAATTTACTGGGGCTCAGATCCTATTTAAAATCCTCAGATAGTTTATGGCACATATTTCCAGATACTTAAAATCAATACTAGGCTTGAATTTCCTCATGAAGTGTGATTATTACATCAAGACTCTACCTATTAAGCTAACCAGCTATCATCAGCAAGTCCTTTTATATGGGCCAATCTCGTTTTTGGACTGAGTGCATATGTTTTGGTAAGACAGATAACAGAGCGTGTACCTAGCAAGATGGCGACCCCGTCCCACACAACGTGATGTAGCCTACCGTCACATTTTATTGTTTTTTTTTTTGTTTTGTTTTGTTTTTTAGATGTTCTTTTTTATCTTAAGTACTCATATGGATTTTAATAGGCTAGGCCAGTTTGGATCCGATTGACTGTATACATGCAGGAGTAATTTGACTCCCAATTGCATTATGTGTCATATATATTTTTATGTATTTTATACTTTGAGAAATCCAATTTAGTATGATTTCAGTCAAACTAACATGTTTACATGTATTTTAAAAGTCTGGTTTTAGTTGGACTAACACAGGGGTAGGGAACCTGCAGCGCCAGAGCCACATGTGGGTCTTTCGCCCCTCTCCAGTGGCTCTCTGTGGCTTTTTTATATATCATCAATATTAACCTTAAGAAGTTCTTACATTATCCAACTGTGAAACTGTCTATACACCAAAAATATTTTAATATTTCATCATCTACAGTGTGCGTCATACATCTATGGCCTGGCACTTTTTCCTCGAAATTTTGCCAAACCTCAATAGCTTTAGCTAGTCTTGAGTCTCCGCAAGGAAAGCTATGGATTCCAAATCCAATAAAGGAAAAGTCATGGAGGAAAAAAAAGTATTTAATGCGGTGTGGACAAGTTTGTTTGCTTTTACCATCAACACTGCAAAGTTAAAGTACCAACTAATCTTAATGAGCCCACTGCAGTTTGGCCACCTTGAAGTAAAATATATTAATGAATGCTTATTTAGACCAATTAATAATGTTGATTGGCTCATTTAGACTTAATAGGCTGTGTTGCCTTCATATAAGGCTCAAATATTTGTTGCAGCTGGTGACAGATTATTTTTTAATTATTTTGGTCAAAAGTGGCTCTTTTGATAGTAAAGGTTGCCAACCCCTGGACTAACACAATGCATCAATTTTCTCTAATGTCATGGTCTTTGTCCCAAATCACTCACTACTCACTTTATAGTCCACTATAAAGTGTGTTCGCCATTTTGTAGTGCTGGCCGAATGTATGGTGGAAATTATTATACCCTACATAGTGGACTCAAAGTATCCCACAATACACTGTGAAAAGTAGTGTACAACCAATGGTCACTAACCAAGCAATATATCCCATCATGCATTGCGCCGAAGGAAAGGATCAACGTACTGAGATGAATGCCGGGAGAGAGAGCGACTCGATTACAACCTGCTGTGCATGTTTAAATTATAATGACATGTTTAAGGTTGTTTTATCAATTTTCTTTTGCCATGTAATGAACTGTCAATTTACTGTGTCGTCGTCAGTTCATGAAGAGATGAAAATAAATCAACAACTGATCTCAAGTGCTTCACAGTTACTGTACAGAGTAGGGCTAATAATGCTAGCTAATGTTAGCAAATTGTGTAGCATGTCAGTATTACATGTTATAACATGTTTTAATAGTGTGACAGCAATGATGTAATTAACTACTCCAAGAAAATGACCTGAGTAGTGTGGAAAGTATTTCAGATGAGCTCACAATATGTCATCCTCTAAAGAACTCCCTACATAGTGAGTAGGGAGTAACGTCACTGTGTCCCTCCTTCACAGTGACGACACTGATCATGGTCCTGTTGTGAGTGATATTTATCCAGTGGTGTAAATAATCCTTTTTAGATATCAATGTCACAAAAAAAGGAGATGTGTATTGATTTTAGTAAAATTCCCTCAGTCATCTCCCCTGTGGTGATGGACAAACAATCTGTAGAACTTGTGCAGCAGTACAAATACCTCAGTACTGTTGATAGCAAGCTGTGCTTTGAGCTCCAAGTTGATGTTGTATGTAAGAAAGTACATCAGCGCATGCACTTTTATCGCAAGCTTCGCACTTATAATGTTGACACCACTTTTATGAAAATGTTTTCTTGAATCTGTTCTTACGTTCTCTTTTAACTGCTGGCACAGGTAACTTTCTTTTAAACAAAAAAAATTGCTTGCAAGGCATTGTGAAGGTGTGCAACAAAATTGCTGGAGCGCCCTTAAAAGACCTCCCTGACCTGTATCAGGTCAGGTGCATGAAAAAAAATTATATGTATCTTGGACGACCAAGCCACCAATTAAGGGACAATTTCGTGCTGCTACCATCAGGGCGCAGATATAATTTCCCCCGATGCAGAACAAATCGGTTAAAAAAAACATTTATCCCTGCTGCTATCAGCTAAATGTGCTTGTGTATTCTTTTATGGTTGTTTAGTTGTTGTGATAATTGCTGTCTTTGTTTTAACTGCTGGCTGTGACACAAATTGTCCCTCAGGGATAATAAAGATACCTTGAACCTTGAACCTTGAAAGAGTGAATGATTTCGGACACAGCCATGTAAACGCACTGAGTGTTTGGTTTGTCCTTTGTGGGCTACTGTAGAATCAACAAATATGGCTGACTACATGGAAGGGGATCTGCTCGGTATGTAGATAAACAGCTCATTCTAAGGCAACAACACAGTTCTTATTTCCATGTCATTATAAACTAATGAAAACATAGTTATGGCTATTATATGCAATTTCTGTCCCTAAATCTTATATACTTATTAATTATCAGTGTTGCCATGGTAGACCGTTAGAGTCGTTTTTAGCACCCCCTTGCGCCCACTTGCTGAAACACACCGTGCTGGGAGCACTGGGACAGACGACAGCTGTGGTCCACTCCAGGTTTTCTCCTCCACTCTTCCCCTCAGTGCCGACGACGAGTTTTTGGCCAGCGGAGACCGTAGGTTGCGTCTGGTGGAGGGAGAGTGAGCGGGGCTGCCCTGAATGGATTGACATAAGAGGGATTTACATTTTAACGGGTGTCGTGCTCCGCAGAGACGACACGGTGCACGCTGAAAAACCAACTATTCCGCTCGATGTGCGTCCACGTCGGTGCTTTTACCATGTTGTCCATGTGTCATCGTCGAGAGAGGATTGAACTTGCCAGCAGTCTATATTTGCCGAGGAGGGAAAACCAATACAAGGTCTAGCTGTCTCGCTGGAGCGGAGTATTATTAGCAGTTCAGACAGTGCAACTGTCGCTCTCTGGTATGTAAAGCATTTCAGTCGTAAACGTGTAAATAAAACCACACGGGCGACGAAACAACCTGTATCTACACGGGGCTTTAAATGACAGCGGTCAAGTGCAATAATAATAATAAAAAGGGACGCTGAAGGCATTTTTACACGGTAATAACCCCCTCTTCCGCCAGTCAGAGAGACGAAAACAGGATCCGACCTCCGGCTGGAGCCCACTCCTCAACGTGCCTGCCCTTTAAACTGTTTGAGCCGTGTTAGCCAGCCCTGGAGCTATATTTGTTTTATATCTTTCTACTCAATATATATCATAATTCAAAATAGTGTATCATGCACAAGTGTTTTCTCTTTTGACGTCAACCTTGCAGCACTTGCTCGACCCAGCAGATATTTCAGGCGGGGCAAAAGTGTCATTTCCAGCAGACAAAGTAAAGAACATTTGCATAGATTCAGCTTCCTAACTATTGTATGCACTATATTGTCAATCATCAGACTACACCTGAGATCTTTGAGTGTGTTTGTGTGTCTTAACT